TCTATCTATCTATCTATCTATCTATCTATCTATCTATCTATCTATCTATCTATCTATCTATCTATCTATCTATCTATCTATCTATCTATCTATCTATCTATCTATCTATCTATCTATCTATCTATCCATCCACTATGTTGTCTCTGACCTGTGTGGAGAGTTCCTTGGTCTTCATGTTGCCTCAGAGGAGTTGGCTCTTGCTACAGACTGGTATGTAGTGAGCTTTATCCGAGTTTATTGTCTAATCTTTGTGTATGTGATGTAGAGTCAAATGCTGTAAATACAGTTAGTTTTTTTAATTCATGTATAAACTGTATGTTTACTCCCTGAGTTTATTTTAGTGTGTCTTATAAACAACCTGTTCAGTAATCTTTTAAATTCTCTCCTCGTGTGCCTCGGCTCTATTTCTGACCCTTGAATATAAACGTTTTATTGTCTCAGCTCCCCCTCTCCTTCCCCTGCTGTTTGCTTCTGCACTTTGAAAAGTGCGTTTCTGCTCCTGCGTGCTCAGATCTTGCGTTATCGGCCTTTCCTCGTGTCTGCTCCTCGTTTTGTTGACAAACCTTGACAGGTTTCGATCACCGGACACACCGATCGTCCAAAGGTGGATCTTATTGAACTCAGAGGCTCCTGAATGTAACAATTAGACATAGTTGTGCATCACATTTCAGGGTTTATGTAACTTTCATTGTTTGAAACAATTCCTCCACTGACCCTCACTAATCTGAAGTGCTTATGACATTGTTATTGATTTTAATCCAGATTAAAAGTCCAGTTGTATCCCAGGTTGTAAGGTCAGAAAGCAGGATTATTTATTTAACTGATACGTGAATGAGTGGCAGCTTCACACAGGAGATAACTGATCGTGTTCACAGCATTAAAGTATTTTAGCTGCAGCTTCAAACTGTTTTCCAGATTTACACGTAGTTATAACGGTCTGTTGTCAGAGTTTGAACCATCATGTATAAAAATATGAAACTGCACGTCTGATCTCCTGAGCTGCAGAAACACAGAAAAGCAGAAAAAATAGAAAAACCTGCTCCTCCCCCAGCAGGAACACCTCCTTCTCATCTGATCCCTCCTGGTTCTGACAGACTGACTGGACTGCAGGGTTCGAACAGCCTGTCGGGACAGAACACCTGAAGCTTGACTGTGTTCACAGGGACCATGCTCCTTCACTGGTAAGTTTCCAGTTTGGATCCAGACCCGCACGGTGAGCTCACCTGTGCAGGAGCTGCGTGGAGTTTCAGCTGTTTGACTCGTCCTCTTGTGTTTCAGGTCAGTGAGTCTGTTGGTCCTGCTGGCAGGCCTCCGGCCCGGTGTCTCAGAACACCCCCCGCTCCCACCTGAGGTCTCCCAGCACAATGGCTCCCTGTATGCTGCCTGCGAGGTGAGACCCAGCACCTCACTCCCCGAGGAGGCCCCCCTCAAAGTCCACGGTCAGGTTCTGTTCAAACAGGAGCCTCAAGGAAAACTCCAAGTCCTCTTCAGCTTCAGTGGCTTCCCTGAAGAGGGCCCTCCAGAACCCAGAGCCGTCCACATCCATAAGTATGGAGACCTGAGCCGGGGGTGTGACTCCACCGGGGGCCACTACAACCCTCATGTTGTGGATCACCCCGGTCACCCAGGAGACTTTGGCAACTTTGTGCCTCAGCAAGGAAGGATCAGTGCCCTGCAGGAGTCTGAGGCCACGCTGTTCGGGCGGCTGTCTGTGCTCGGGAGAGCCGTGGTGCTTCATGAGGACGTGGACGACATGGGGCAGGGGGGGGACGCCGGCAGCCTGTTGCATGGCAATTCAGGCCGGAGGCTGGCCTGCTGCGTGATTGGGATTTCCTCCCCCAGCATGTGGCAAACACAACACGAGCTGTTCACTCAGCAGCTCCTCTGAGGTGGGACGTTCTGCTCAGATCTGTCTTCAGCTTCAACAGTTTGTTCCTGCGTCTAATAAAGATTTACAACAACCGATCAAACCTTTGACTGCGTGAATGTTCATGAAGCATTCACTCTGTTGGCATCCAGTTTTCTTCTGTACCGTGTTCAGCATCTTTCTCATTCCACAATTTTTGTGCTATTTAAACAAATCATATATAAAAACATTCAGCTGTTTCAGGACAATCCTGCTAGGACTGTTGGTATTGGTGCAACTTTAGCTTTTTGAAATGTTTGGCCTTTTCTGCCACTTTTTTCCTCATAGAAAATGAATTGAGCTCATTTTACATCCTTCACATCTTTAGATCTGTTTATAACATTTTACTGCTCCATTCACATTTTGTTCTGCTTCAGCTTCTTTCAGCTTCCTTGTGCAATTTTAAATGTTTTGTTCAGCTAATTTCAGCTGTTTTGTGCTCCTTTCAGATTCGTTCTGCTAACTACAACATTGGCGCTTCTTCTAACTTCTTTCTGCCAATTTGAGCTTGGTTTGTTCCTTTCAGCGTTTTCTGCTATTTCAGCTATTATTTAGCTGTTTTTATGCTAATTTTAGCTTTTTCAGTTAATTCCACATTTTTTGGACTCATTTCAACTTTTTTTTGCCTAATTCAGTGAAAATGTGCTGTCTTGACTTCCTTCTATTAATTTCAGCTTCTTTTGGATTTTTTTAGCTACTGTTCAGCTGATTTTTCTTTCATATTTCAGCCTTTTTCAGATAATTTCCACTTTTTTGTGCTCATTTCTGCTTCATTTAGCCCAATTGGGCAAACATGTTCTTTCTGCTTTCTTCTGCCAATTTAAGCTTAGTCTACATTTTCAGCTACATTTTTTGCTATTTTTAGCTGTTTTCAGATTTATTATTAACCTTTATTTAACCAGGTAAATCCCAATTGAGATCACAGCTCTCTTTTGCAAGGGAGATCTGAGCCTGAAGGCAGCCTAACATGTATGTTTTTGATATGTGGGAGGAAACTGGTGTACCCGGAGAAAACCCACGCAAGCATGAGAAGAACATGCAAACTTCACACAGAAAGACCGCAGGTCCAACTGGGGATTGAACCCAGGACCTTCTTGCTGTGAGTCAACAATGCTAACCACTGAGCCGAAATAAATTCATAGAAAAATTCATGTTTTTCATGGTAATTTTTACTTTCAGCCTAATTAACTTCTTGCTGCTAATTTCAGCTTGTTATGCTCCTTTCAGCTTAATTATGCTAGTTTCACCTACTGTATTTCTGCTGTTTCAGCTACTATTTAGCTGTTTTATGCTAATTTTAGGTTGTTGTTTTTTTTAGCCAATTCCACTTTTTTACAGCTCATTTCAGCTCTTTCCACTTGTTTCTGGTAGTTTAAGCTTATTTCTGCCTTTTAGCTATTTTTGGCTAATTTCAGCTTGTTTTTAGCTACTTTCTTGAATTTTCTGATTATTCAAACCTATTTCAGCAGATATGTGTCCTTTCTGCTGTCTTCTGCTAATTTAGGCTCGTTCTTCCATTTCAGCATGTTTTCTTCTTTTTTTTTTTTTAGCTAATTTCAGCTGTTTTTCAGAAAGTTCTTCAGCAATAAGCACTCACACTAAATTTTCACAGGAAATGCAATTTGTCTAGTTAATCTATTCTAAGTGTTGCAGCTGGATGGTCAGTCCAGCAAACTGTCAGAGTGGATTTAAATATCAAACCAGGTGACTTTCTTCATGAAAAATGTTCAATTAAATATATTCTAATCATCTTATGGAGAAAATACTTTGATATTCTGTTGTGTTTGAATAAAAATATCAGTATCATCATCTTTGGATCAATTACAAAGCTGTTATAAAATTCTTTTTTTTTTGGCTCTCTTTGCATCTTTATGCATTAAAATTAATTTTTAAAGCTATAATCTTTTAAGATTTAGGCTGAAAGCTCATGGTCAGTAAAATGATTCTTGTGAAACCCTGTGGGTTTGTAAAAATATCAAAGCTAATTGTTTATCACCAACTGCAGCATTTAATGTGTAAAATGATGACAAAACATAAAAGATTAATACATTTAATGAGAAACGTGATGAAGCAGCACGTACACTAATGTGAAAATAACTTCTCTTAGTTTTTAGGCTCGACAAAACTTTCTAGAAAAAAACATCACTAAATTGAACATCACACTGTAAATGTAATAAATACTGCGTGGTGTGCATGTTCTGTATGAAAATAGAAAACTGTGCCTTGCTGAATCTGTTCCCGTACAGATAAATAACGACTTCTGGGTCAATACGTACAATTAAATCCACTCGTTTTAAATGACTAAACAGCAGAAACTGCATTTTGTTAATTCGTTTCTCTGATTTTGTTCCTGCGTGAAACAAACGTCCACGTGGTGAATCCAAAACGAGCAGCAGGTTTCGTTAAATACTGTAAAACAACCACTCTTCTTCGATGTTGCGTCTCCAAACGTATTTTTGAGTGAATCTGACCGAAGCTCTTACACCCCACGTTCCACCAGCGCAGATCCTTCTCTCAATCTTTGATAAATGGGAGAAACCCAGCAGATGTTACAGCTGTGAACTGGAGGCCATGGTCGCTGATGTGTTGTCTGGATGTCCTGCAGGCAGCATCCGACTGACTGACGCTACAGGAGACATCGGAGCGGTTCTGTCGGTTCCTCTAAACTCTACGAGACGACTCTTCATGAACAGACTCTTTTTAAACGTCGACTTCCTGGTTCGGTGGGACGGCCTCCTGCTGCGCTTCAGATTCAGTCGGAGGTAAAACGCCGTTCCTGTCATCTTCTCTGAAAGACTCTGTCTCGGTAGTTTCCAGCCCCCCGCTGCACCCTGCTGACCCGTCTCCTCCTCTGATTGGCTCCGAGCTCTCTGAAGGGTGGCAGAGCTCTGAGGACGGGTGGACTCTGTTCGGGTGTGCAGCGTCCGGAGTGGAGTCCCTCACACGCTCGTCTTCTGCTGATAAACCCGTTCCGATCTGCGACTGCTCGCTCTGGCGCAGCTCTTCAGCGTCTGTCTGAGGCTCAGCCGGCTGCTGGGGGGCGTTCGGCTGCCAGGATGGTGACGGAGCTTCTGTCTGAGGATCAGCCGGTGTTCGGCTGACTTGGTCCGTGGCGTTCGGCTGAGCATCAGGTGCACATTCAGGATCGCTTACACCTGCAAGAACAGAAAGGAGAGCTTTATTTAAAAAAATACAACCTCCTGATCGACGGCTTTCTCTGAATATTCACCTTCCTGTCCAGGAGTTTCCTCTTCTTCAGGTCTGTGTGTGTTCAGGATGATGCTGTCTTTCCCTCCTACAGTAAAACAGCCAAAGTTAGTGTTTATTTATTCATTTAAGCTGCTGCACTTAAAACCATAAAAGTAGCTAAAATGAGCGAATGCGGGCAGATATGAGGAGCAACAGAGGAAAAGATCAGGTTTCGATTCTCAGAGGAACATACTTCCAAACACTCCCAGAGACACATTATAAGTCAGGCCTCCAGGCAGCAGGAAGAAAAAGAGCGAAACGATTGTAAACAGAGTTTAGATCACGACAACAACATGACTCAGTCCTGTACAAGGAGGCACTTCTCACCTGGAAGGCTCCATAGTCCAGACATCTCGAGAGTTTTAAGCTTCTTCTCCAGCTCGGCCACTCGGTTTCCAAGAATCCTGACATGAAAGAAAAGAAAAATCAACCTGACCGTGCAGCTGCTGCTCGAACTACGTTCAGCAGCTGAAGCAGAGTGAAGCAGGAGGCCCAGCAGGAGGCCCAGCAGGAGGCCCAGCGGGAGCGTCAGTACTTGTTGATTTGCCGCTGGTGCTGGATCACCATGTTCTTCTCGTGGATGGTTTCCAGCAGAGCTGTGGCCAGAGACTTCAGGTCTGAGATGGACTGAGGGGTCACGGGCAAACTGCAGCCGTTTTCCTCCGACAGCAGCAGTTCCTTCACTGCAGGAACCAGCAGACTCAGTAAATGTGCACGGGAGCTCCCCAGTGATAAGTGCACGCACACAAACGGGCCTGACCTTGTTTAGCAGAGAGCACTCCGGTCAGAGCGCTGCTGTTGGGTCTGCCGCTGATCTTACAGTTCTTCCTGCTCTCCAGGGCGCTCTGAAACACGCCAGAGGAGCGCACGTCACAGGTGAATCGCAAAGACAAAAGAAAGGTTTTAATTGAATTCTAGCGCAGTGGTTCTCAAACAGGGGTCCCCGGACCCCAGAGGTCCACGAGCCGGTGTTTGGGGTCCACAAAAAACAAAACAAACAAATATATATATATTTGTTTTCTTTTTACAAACAAGTAGATGTTTAACATCATGTTAAAATACACCAAAATGCAGGAAATCATATATACTTTATTCAAATTTTTCTGGGGGAGGACCCCCCCCCCCCCCCGATCAGTTTATAAATGAAGCGCTGTCACTTGGTCTGACTCCTGCTGTTATGATTCTGATCAGTTTTCTGTAATAATTTAAAGAAGTCTCAATACATTTATTATGTTCATTGTGTGAGTAGTTAAAGTTTTTAAGTGGTTTTTGATGCTGTTAGTTTGATCAAAACTGTAATTTTTGGAAGTTGAAATTAAAAATGTTTATTAAGTGTGTCTTGAATGAAAAATACCTCATGTTTAAAAGTATAAAAATTGTATTAACACAGTGTTTCTGAACCCAGAGTTTGAGAAGCCCTGTCCTAGAGGAACCATGTAAATTGTAGAAATGCACAGAAGAAGTAAAAGCAAAAGGTACCTTGTACTTCACCAGGTTACTTTTGAGCAGTTGCACCTCTTCTTGAAACTGACCCAGCCGCTCGTGTAAATACCTGGAAACATGGTCGCAGTTTGACGCTGAACGCTGGTTCTGGCACCCTGACGGCCTTCAACGGACCGACTCTGACCTGTTCTCCATGCAGAGCGCGTCGACGTCCAGGAGGCGGATCTCGTCGTTCCCGAGGACGTGGTTCATCTCCACGTTGAGCCGGTGAGCCTTCTGCTGGAACACGTCCCGCTCCGCTCGGACGTCCTGCAGCTCGTCCGTCAGCGCCTTCACGCTGTGCTCCAGCACCTCGTTCTGCAGCACAGAGCAGTCGACAGGCCCATCAGTCGGCTCGGGCTTCAGGTGACCCTCGCAGTGGATAAGGAGCGATGGGAGTCGCGCCGGGTGTTTGAGCGCAGCTCCAGCCCTCACCTGTCCTCGCGCTCGCTCCAGCTGTCGGACCAGATCTTCTCGCTCGTGTGCAGGAAAGTGTCGAGCGCCGACCTCCTCGTCCCCCAGCCTCTGCTTGGTGATGGTCATCCGGAGGAGCTGCGAGAACCCACATGGAGAGCAGAGTTGGAGAAATGCTTTCCTTCATTTACAAACATTACATCACAGAAACACGTCGCTATTTTTTAATTCTGCTTCGGCATTGCTGCTCTTTTTGTCTCCTTCTGCTACTTTTAGCTAGTTTTTTTGTTGCTATTTCTGTAGTTTAGCTGGCAATTAGCGTTTGTATAGCTGTTTGCTACATTTATCTTTTATCTAGCTTTTAGCATTTTCTAATTTTAGCTTTTAGCCAGGTTTTGCTAGTTATAGCTTTTAGTTAGTCTTTTGTTACGTTTAGCTCTTAGCTTATTGTTTTTTCACATTTGGTTGCTTTTGGCTTTAAGTTAGCATTTAGCTTATTTTTGCTAGTGTTTAGCTTTCAGCCAGTGTTCTGCTTCTTTTTGCAGTTTCAGCTTATTTAGCGCACCTCATTCAGCTCATCCAATATTCAGCGGGTAAATTGTCATTTTGTGTTTCCGTCTTCTTGTAATTCTGAAGAGTTTTGATGTTTTGTGTAAAATATTAAACAATAAACCAATTTTATTGTGCAAATGTTTAAATTATTTCTCCTGATGGTGGAGAGCTCTGAAGAGAGGAAAGCCTGAAGGTTCCTGGTGAACTCGCCGGCGGTGTTCTGCGTACCTTGTTATCCCCCTGAGCTTCCACCAGCCTCTGTTTGAGCTCCTGGACCTCCTCGGAAAGATGGCCGCTCTTTTCTCTGGAGTCTGTCAGCAGCTGAGCTAAATTCACCTGAGAGTAAAACGAGCAGGAAGGAGCATTATTGCACGTGAAGAAACGCCGCGGTCGTCCATCACGAGACGTGCACACGGTCCAGCAGAGCATGACGCAGCAGGATTTGTCACGGACGCTGTCTCATCTGTTTGACGAGGCTCGTGTCAGCAGGCGCGGGCGTGCTGTGTGCACGCTTCATTCTGCTGAGCCTCTCTCGAGGCTTTAATGTCAACGATGCGTTTTCCTTCAACCGTATTGCAGAAACAATAAACTCTGAGTAAATTACTCACTTGGTTCCTTTTCTCAGGCGGCAGGGACGGGTCTCCATCCTGAGGATCAGACAGAATATAATTATTCTCCAAATCACTTTCTAAGCTGCTCCTTCTTCATGTGTCCTTCAGAGGGAGCGTACAATGAGCTCTCTGTACTTCTTCTTCAGGGCCTGGTGGCGTTCACGGAGCTGGTTGGCCATCAGCTGGTACTGATCCCTCTCCTGCTGGCAGGTGTCCAACTCTTTGGACAGAATCAGGAGAGCCTCTTTTTTACTCTCCAGCTTACGCTTACAAACCAGGAACTGCACGGAAGAACAAACGTAATGCAAATTTAGAAAATCTGCATTTCCTGCGAAAATGCAGTGTGAATGCTTCTTGCTGAAGAACTTGCAGAAAAACAGCTGAAATTAGCTAAATATATGCTGAAACGTAGCTGAAATGGAAGAACAAGCCTAAATTTGTAGAAAAAAAACAGAAGGAACACATATTTGCTGAAATGTGTTTAAATAAGCAGAAATTAGCACAAAAATTAGGAAAGTTAGGAAATTAGGAAAACATGTTCCTGTTTTTAGTTTTCTACATTCGCCTTAGAATCGAGCTGTTTTTTGTTACTTTTCTTTTTTTAGCCATCCTATTTGTTAAAAAAAAAAATCGGTATGACTTTTTATAACTGTCTACTGTTGTCGCTGTTGTCCATTGTTGTCATCATTCTTTGTTGAAATCAGGTCTCTCTTGTAAATGAGTCCCCGAGGCTCAATGGGATTTACCTGTCTAAATAAAGGTTGAATGAAAAAGTAGCTAAAATTATCTGAAATGAGCAAAAAACATAAATAAAGGCTGAAAAGTAGCTGAAAGGAAGCTTAAACTACCAGAAGGAAGCGGAAAGAACTGAAATGACCTAAAAAAATGTGGAATTGGCTGAAAAGGCTAAAATTAATATAAAAACAGCTAAATAGTAGCTGAACTAGCAGAAATGGTTGAAACTAGCATACTTAAGCTGAAAGGACCACACACAAATTAGCAACAAAAAAACGTTAATTAGGCTGAAAGTGGCAAAAATTACCACGAGAAACTTGAATTTATTTGAAAACAGCTGAAATTAGCTAAAAATTCTAAAAAAGTTAACTGAAAATGTAGAACAAGCTTCAATTAGCAGTAGAAAGCAGAAATAACATGTTTGTCCATTTAGGCTGAAAGAGCACAAAAAAGTAGAAATTATCTGGAAAAAAAGTGGAAATGAGCAACAACAAGGAAAAAACAGCTGAAAAGCAGCTAAAAATCAGAAAGAAGCATAAATTACTAGAAAGAAGTACTTGAAATGTGTAAAATATGCTTGAGAGAGCACATTTTTTTATGAATTAGGTAAAAAAAAGTTTAAATTAGTACAGCAAATGTGGTGGAATGAACTGAAAAAGCTAAAATTAGCATAAAACTGCTAAATAATGGTAGTTGAAAAAGTAGAAAAAGCTGAAACTTGCAGAAATAAACTGAAAGGAGCATAAACTGAAATTAGCAGAAAGAAGTTAGAAGATGCACAAACATGCTAAAAATAACAGCTGAAATTACCAGTAGCTGAAAGTAGCTGAAAAAAGTTAAAATTTGAACAGGAAGCTGAAAGAAGCTGAAGCAGAACAAAAAGTGAAAGGAGCAGTAAAAGGTTGTAAACACACCTAAAGATCTGAAGAAATGTAAAATGAGCTCAGTTCATTTTATGAGACAGAAAGTGGCAGAACGACTAAATATTTCAAAAAGCTAAAGTTGCACCAATAACAAAAGTCATAGCAGGATTGGTCTGAACGAGCTGAACGTTTTGATATGATTGGGTGAAATAGCACAAAAATTGTGGAATGAGAATAACGCCAAAAAAACGTACGGAAGAAAAATGGATGACAATAGTGAGAATGCTTCATAAACATTCACACAATAAAGATTACTGGGGTTATTAAATGTATAAAATCTGAATTATATTCTCAAACGTTAATGCAAAAGAAGCAGGAAGTGAGCTCAGGTGAAAGAAATTGTTGCGACGCCGCCCGTTAAAGCTGCAGCTCCTGAACGTTTCATCTTCTCTCAACTAGCCGTTACGTTTGAGCTGATAATTTCATTAAACATCAGTAAGTCGTTTTCAGTCATTTACTCCTGTCTTGTTAAAAAATGTTTCCACTGGTGCGTGTAAGATTTAGCAAATGGTACAGAGACATCCGTGAGAACGGGACATGTCTCAGAAACTGGTGAAAAGATGAGACAGGAAGTGGACAAGGACGCTGCGGAGAGGAGCGCAGGAGTTCTGACACGAGGCGACATCTCTGTGTCTGAACTGTGGGGGAGGGAGGTTCTTGTTACAAAACCCACCCAGGACCAGCTGAATATCAAAGAAACAATTATACAAATCTCCCTAAAAGCATGGGGGTAAATGTGTCAAGGTTTGATGAACCTGAAGAAGAACCTTTAGGCGTCAACTCCTGTTTGGTGCTGCAAAACCAGCCTGTCACTCAGAGGTACCACAAAGATAATTAGCACAAATAAACTACAAATCTAACGTACTAATAATCTGATTACATTTTGCAAAAAAAACACGATATCCTGTGGAAAAGCAGCTGCTATTTTTCAAGATGGCCACCTTCAAAAGTACTTTTTTAATGTTTGCATCTAAATGTGGGTTTTAGGGAAAGCTAAATCAAAGTCTGGAGTGGCAAAAGTCAATTATTTTAAAAGTTGTGGTTGTAAAAACATAATAATTCCATAAATGAGACACTTTGACTTGAAAACTGTGTAATCTCTTCAAAACATTTCATGGATTTAGACAGATTACACAAAGACTGCAATGAAAACTTGACAATGTTCTGTTACATCTGCACAAAGGTGCGTGCACGTGAGGCCAAAGCATTTGTGAGCCTGAGCTGTTCTAATTATACAAAGAAAAATCTGTTTTTTAGATACAAAACAACAAAGACTTGGATTGTCAGATGATTTTATGAATAAGTAGGTCCCCCAAATTTAGTGCTTACATCAGCAGCTGTAAATTTATTTTGTGGTCTCTGCTGCGCTAAAGAACAGTGAAGCACGGCGGCGGCAGCATCATGCTCCGAGAACTGAGGTAATCCAGGTGGAAAGGTGCAGAAAAGCAAAGCAGAATACAAGAGTCACAGTGTGCACGTGCACACTCATGCAACCAGCTTCTTGCATCTTTTCTGTTTTGTTTTTTACATTTTCTTCTTTTACCCCCCCCCCCCCCCCCCCCCCCAGATCTTTAAATCCAGCTGTGCTGGATCCTAAAACAAATTTAAACAATTTATTCTGGTTTCATTCTTTAATTCACAAAAAGTCTTTAAATCACCTGCACTACATGGAACACACCATAATGAGCAGGAAATCAAAGGATAGTTTTGTCTACATAAATAAATTAACCCTCTACATATGAATGAATTTATAAACAGTCTTTGGGCTGAAGGGACTAATCATAAGATTATCTGTAAATGCAGTTGATCTCACATTCATTCATATTTACTTCCTCGTTCACTTCCGGGTTTAAATCAAGCCGCAGCGGCCGTGCACTGTTATTTTGTCGGTCTGTTTGGGTCTGTGAACGCAGCTAAACTGGACAGAGATAACGTGAGACAGCTGCAGATGTGTCTCACGTCGTCATGATGGCTCGGTGCTCCTCGGTCGGAGTCCGGGCTCACCTCGTTCAGCAGCCCCTGCCAGTCACTCTCGCTCCTCCGGGACGGATCCATCTCTCAACACATTAAAAGACTAAAATAAAACACAAGGTTAACTTTTGTTTTTAGCCTCTGCTGGATTCATGAACATTCTGCATCACAGACACAGATTAGCTGACTCGATCTGCGTCACTTCCGCCTAACGTCCGCCAAGCGTCATGATGCATTCAGATACACTCGTAAATCGGAAGTTCTTGTTGTTTCGCGCTCTGGCAGGCAGCTAGCTGGGCCATAGCTATTAAATTCAGTTCAGTTTATTTATATAGCGCCAAGTCACAACAGAAGTAATCTCAGATCACTGAACAGAAATATGTGTATATAAAAATAATAAGTTAACAGAGACATTCATATATAAAATAATAATTTCTCTTTGTAAATAAGTCCTCGAGGCTCAGTGGGGTTTACCTGTCTAAATAAAGGTTGAATGAATGAAAAAAATAATTTAACACTATTTATCTGAGGAGCAGACTGCTTTGAATTTAAATCCATCACAGAACTCATCTTGAGTAGGCACGTAGGCAACAGTGGAAAGGAAAAACTCCCTCATGAGGAAGAAACCTTTAGCAGAACCAGGCTCAGGACAAGCCATCTGCTTCAAGAATAACAATATTTTTAACATTAGAGCTGGAGGCCAGATTAATGCCATTCAAGGAGGGTGAAAGACTGAAAAAAGTATTCCTAAGATCCCAGGTCCAAAAACAAAAACCTCAGTCTTGTCTGTATTCAAAAGCAGAAAATTTAGGGTCATCCAGGTTTTTGTCTTTAAGACCTGTTTCTAAGTAACTGATTGGATTCATTGGTTTCATGGCCAAGTATCAGCATAACAATGAAAATTTATCCCACGCTGTTTAATAACTTTAACTAATGGAAGCATATATCAGGTAAAGAGTATTGTGCCAAGCACTTAACCCTGAGGAACTCCATGACTAACTTGGTGTATGATCAAGATTCGTTACATTTACAAATTGGAATCTATCAGATAAATATGATTTAAACCAATTTAGAGCCGTTCCAGTAATCCCAATGTCATATTCAAGTCTCTGTAGTAGAATATCGTGATCAACTGTATCAAATGCAGCACTGAGGTCTAACAGGACCCAATATAGATACCTGTTCATTGTCAGAGGCCATGAGAATATCATAAGTAACTTTCAACAGTACTGTTTCTGTGCTCTGGTGAGCTCTAAACCCTGACTGAAACTCCTCAAACAGATTATTTTGTTGTAGATGTTCACACAACTGATCTGCACCTATTTTCTCTAGAATTTTTTAGATGAAAGCTAGATTAGATATAGGTGTATGATTGGCTAGGATTCCTGAGTCAAGGTTATGTTTCTTAAGTAAATGTTTAATTATCACAATCTTAAAACACTGTGGTACGTAACCATTCATTAGAGACAAATTAAACAGATCCAAGTTGTGGTTATTAATTAAGGGAAATACCTCTTTAAACAGTCTGGTTGGGATGGGATCTAGCAGACATGTGTATGGTTTGGATGAAGCTATTATTTCTGGCAATTCAGAGAGTTCAACAGGAGAAAAACAGTCCAAACATAAGTCAGGTTCTAGTGACATTTTTAAAGTTGTCTCATCTGACACAGAACCAGAGGCGACAGTAGGAAGGTTGGTTTGAATTTTTTTCCTATTTGAAATAATTTTATTTATAAAGAATCTCATGAAGTCATCACTGCTTATAGCTGAATAGATATATGGTTCAACAGAGATATGATTTTTCATTAGACTAGCTATGGTACTGAAAATTAACCTTTTTTTTTTCATCAATTAAAGATAAATAATATAAAGTTCTATCTTTAAGGAGCACTTTTTTATACATTAGCAGGTTATATTTCCAAAATAAGTAAAATTCTTTAACGTTAGTGGAGCGCCATTTTCTTTCCAGCTTTCTAGATGCCTGTTTTAAAGTATGTAACTCAGAATTGAACCAAGGAGCCAGTCTCCTCTGATTGATTACTTTCTTTTTCAGTGGACCAGTTTTATCAAGTGAAATTTGCAAAGAAGTTGTAAATTTATCAACCAGATTATCTAAATTACTGGTCTCTGATGTATTACTCTGCAAGACAAAGGAAAACAATGGAAGAGAATCTTAAAATTTGGTTATTGTGTTTTCTGATAAATACCTGCTAAGATGAAATTTACTCTCAGTGGCTGTGTAGTCATTTAATGTAAACTCAAAGGTAATTAAAAAAATGATCAGACAGAACAGGATTTTGAGGACGTATTACTAAGTCTTTAATCTCTTTGCCATAAATCAGAAGGGTAAATGGACTGTACTTACATAGTGCATTTCTATCTTATCAAGGCACTGAAAGCACTAATTTGTGCCCTAATTTACCCATTCATACAACACTCTACTACATCTATATAAAGAATAATCAGAGCTTTATCACATTCATACACCAATTGGACACACATCGGAGGCAATGAGGGGTTTGGTGTCTTGCCCAGAGACACTTCGGCATGCGACTTCTGGTGGAATCGAACCCCCAACTCTTGCATTGCAGGACGATTGCTCTAACCACTCAGCCACAGCCACCCAGAACTAGATCAATAGTGTGATGATGAGAAAGTTTATGGATGTTTTTGGTAAAACCACTTGTTTCTATTAAATTTTTAAAGGTTATGGTTGAGCTATCACTTTCAACATCTATATGAATATTGAAATCACCCACTATTATGACTTTATCCATATTTAATAATAAGTCAGTTAAGAATTTTGAGAATTCTGACTAAAACTGGACATAGGAGCCTGGTATATTTTTTAAATACATTGCATTCTGTATTTTAAGATATGATCTTAAAAACTTTTAAGTATTCCTTGGTTTACAAGAACAAAATTAAATCAATAATATTTGACTTTAACCGTTCAGAGGGGAGAAACTTGACAACTTGGCTCATAGTTAGTAACACTTCACAGGGTCTAACATTTCCTGAATCTTTTTCAAAACTGAGTCAATCATTCTTTAAAAAAGGTCTTGGATAATTATCTTCTGTGTTTCAAACTGAAGTACGGCAGGAGATAAAATTCACTGCACATTTGACAACAGAATCAAACACTTTTATTACAGTAAATCTGCTCACATGATCATTAATGTGCCTTTTCACAAACCTCGAGTTGAAAATTTGGTCAAAGTAACTTTTTAACCTTTAGTAAGTAAACTATTAGTTCATCATCATTTGACATGAGAACCGTTGACTGAACAACAAATGACTTCTGCAAAGAAAAGTGACAATATTACGAAAACACATCGCTCGTACTTCGTCCAGAAAGACCAAGGTCTGTCTTTAAAATCACAGTTTTGATATTTGTGGGAAAAATATCAACTTCTAACAACAGGCCAGCAAAGAAATGCTTCTCACACTTGTGGACAACATTTTCTTGAAAACAACATTTGAGGTTATTGTATCAGCACAATGTTTTATTATTCCTCCATACAAACACCTTGTGGTATACACGTTACATAGTGATAATCAAAATTTTCTTTTGTTAATATTCAGGCACTCTGTAGCATAGACATATATTAGGTTCTTTTGATTATTGTACATTAAGCTCATACGATGTCTTCTATATTCTTTGTCATATTGACAGAGAACAAAACTGCACTTTGTTAGTATTAACAGGAGTTAGTAAGAAGAAATAGCTTTAAAGTTTTGGGCTGATCCTTCAGTTTCTTTGTTTTTTTTTAATCATAACAAAAATACTTGACAAAAATACCTGAAATTCAAGGCATGGCCCATTTCCATAAATCCCAAAGGTTTTTTCAGACAATTATCTAATTTTGATCCCTCTGGTTAAGTTAACAATCATGCTGCACAAATACTTTTAAATTAATATAACATTTTAGAGCAACGTGGGCGGTCTATAGTCTCCAGAATAAACTATCCCTGTTTACTTGTGGGGAATTTAAGGAAAGTTTAGGTTTTGTCATAAAATAATCTTCATGCAGTTTCATTTCAAAGATTGTTTTTGCTATAAAACCCCAAGCCTTGACTTTAAAGAGGTAGCCTGGTCATTTTGAAGGGATATTCTGTCAAATAGTCATCAGTAGTTGATACTTTAGCTGTGACATGAATACATAGAATATTTAGAAAAGGGCAAAAGTCTTTTCCAGGCTAGCTAATGGCCTAGCCTGCATCAAGACTTTTGCCATGTCATGGCTAATATGGTACTAACCATTAAAAAAATACGTATTTGAGAGAACACCACTTCAAAAATGACCAGACTATCTCTTTAAAGTAACTAGTTGTGTTTTTATATTAGTTCACAGTTCCTTGAAATTTCCCCAATTTGCAGAATATTGTCAACAATTTTCACAGCCCAAAACTGATGATTTGGATTGCATAAGTACTGATTATACAGCATATGAATATAGTCAATCTACGTGGCCAACAGTTAAGTTTTGATTTACAAGCTCAGATCTACAAATATATGCTCAAACACAATGGATTTTCCCTTCAGGCTGGAGGAGAAGATGAAACTCCTCCGGTCAGGTGTCACCACAGTGAATGAGCGTGGCGACTGCACGTAAACATCCTTAAACTTGTGAAACGTTTTGGTCTCGGCATCCCAGAGGTAGATCTGTGTGAAGGAGTAATCACTGCCCAGAGCGAGGTAGTGTCTGTCTGAGAAGGTGAAGGGCTGCAGGACCATCGCTCCCCGAGAGGGAAGTGCCTGCACCTCGTTGAACTGCTTGTTGGCCCACTTAACCACTTTTGAGTCACCGATGTAACAAGCCAGAGCCAGATACAAGTCACGTTCGACTCGAAAAGCTTTGACAGACACTACATCATCCACAAGTGGGATGTCGCCATGGAGTATAAACTTCAGAGTGCTTTTGTTCCACAGGTAGACAACTGGTGACTGGGAGCGGCTGGCTAAAATAAGGTAGTACTTCCCATCCACCTCAATGAACTCTGCATCTGTATCGCGGAACCATTCATGGAGAAACTGGTAGGAGTAGAAACCTGTTTCGTTGCGGTCTGGTTGGTCAATCCACTTGTAGAGAGTAGACAGGCCCGCCTTGGAACTGTCCACAATCAGAAAATACCAGTCACCATCCATCTGAAAGACCTCCATATCATTTGGCTTCGAGATGTTGAAGACCTCGATGGTCTGAAACTTGGTGAACTTGTTTTGTTTCTCGTCAAACTTGAAGATGTGGGAGCCACCAAAGAGCTGGGTGATGATTATCAGCACATGGTTTTCTATCAGAAATGACTTGCATCCAACGACAGATTTCCCTGTGAAGAAGAAAATTGTTTATGGTGATGATGTTTAAAAATATACAATTATTTTTTAATGTTTTTGGATGATAAGACCAAATCTCAATAATAAGCCTAAAAATCAGGCCTTTTGAATTATATAGTGTTATATAGAGTTATTCATTTTGTTCTGTTACTTGAAAATTATTGTGATTGAACTAATTGTTTGAAAAAAGGGGCAGATATAATAAGATTTTTTTCTTCTTCTGCTGCCTTTCATTTTAAATCTCTTGTATATTTTTATATTGTTATGGAATTGTTTTGTATTTTTTTAAATAAATAAACTTTACACCATACCATACCATGTAGTGTAACATGTATATTTGTCACGATTCACGCCTGTCTGAGTTTATATTTTTGTCACTTTGTTCACTGCTTGGTGTCTGTGGATTTTCTTCTCTTCTATTCTTCTTATTATTTGTTTCTCTTTGGTTTTGAGACTTTTATTTCTGCAGCACTCTGTCTGTTTCTCTCTGCTGGCTGCATGATAGTTTAAATTTGTCTTTCCTTCACTTCACTCTGCACTAATTAGTTTTCATTAGCTGCACCTGTCGCTGCACCCTTTATAAACCTGGTCTGTTCACAGGGTGAGCGCCAGATAGTCGAAAACAGCTTGCCTGCCAATAGATATCCCGCGCTTCTACAGTCTCCTGTCCTTTCATAGTTTCCCTCCTGCCTTGTTTTGTCTGCCCTGCTCCTGTCCCTCCTCCCGGTCTTCGTATCCTCGCCTCTGTTCGCTTGCTTCCTGGTTATCGACTCCGGACCGTCTGACTTCGCCTCTCGCCCGCTCCTTTGGATTTATTCTTCTCCTGCTGGTTCTCGACCCACGCCTGCTCCTGACCTGCCTATCGCCCGCTCCTGCATGGTACTGTCGCATCTCTGCTCTCTGGTTTTGACCCTCGCCTGCACGACTACGCCTCCCGCCTCACGGATCGGGTTCTGGTTCGGCGCCGCTGCGGAGCAGCGCTTTTCATCCATCCATCCATCCTTGGGTTCAACGCTGCAGCCGGCTGACTCTCTTCACCGGGATCATTCCTCCTGCAGTGGGCACATCAGCTTGGAGCGACTCATTAATCCCACGTCCCCTTCAACCAGAGTAACGGTTAGTGGTCTCACCTTTTTGACATTTGCACCTGCTTCTGTCTCCCGCCTGGCCACTAACCGTACTCTACCTGTTTACAGACTCGTTCCAGCCCGAGCTCTTAGATCGACACCAGAACCAGTTCTTTCTTTGAGAAGCCAGACTCTCCCCAATAAACTTTTATATTTATTTTCAAGTGTTTGTGGTGATTTTGGTCCAGTATTTGAAGGGGTTCGTTACAATATTACAGTTAAAATACTCAGATAGTACTTTGAGTGTGAAAGGGTCATTAGGAACCAAATGGTAAATTCCAGGTAAGATTTGTGGCTCGATAGAGATAATCCATTTTTGTGGCATAAGGGCTCCATTAACAGTTGTTTTCTGGTCTTATCACCAATATAACTGGGGTAATAAAAATAAAAGTTGTCACACCTATTATATTGTCAAACTTTCTGAAATTCATTTCTATGTGATCCCACTCCATGATCACACAGCTGTTGGTGTTTGGGGCAGACATGGCCACAAAGATGTCCTCTTTAAAGGAGAAGATGTCTGCGGACATGGACTGAATAGGAATGGACTGATGACGCACAAAGTCTGAAACACACAGGAGAAAAACAACAAAATAAATAAACTGCGGTGATCAAGTGATCGAGAACCTTAAATTACATTTTCAATGCTGAAAAACCATCTGCAAAGAGTCAAGTCTTTGGGTTCAAGGAAGTACGCACGTTCACTGTAAGTACAACATTAATTATTTATCTTTAAAATCCTCTTAGTAATTCATACCTTCGCTTGTCTTTTTGCAACCCTATGAGTATTTATTGAGGGCCAGTGTGAAAGAATGTCTCCCTTTGGGACAAACCTAATAACTAAATAAAATATTCCCATAGAGTTGTCCCTCTTTTCAAGAAAGGTGACAACAATTTTTTTTCCATTTTCTATTGACCTCACCTGGTTACCTTACATTGCTGAAACAGCTTGCTTCAAAAACTTGTGTTGAAATCTTTATTTTATTGATAACCAGTTAGAAATTCATTGTGGTTCCCTCTGACATCTCCTCACAGAGCTACCGGTATTTGATGGATTGTTTGAAATCATTTAGTCCCTTATGGTGTTAAACTTCTGCAGCTTGAGTCATGTTAACCATCCCGATCGTCTATCAACATTACTAACCAAATATCTGTAAACGCTTCCATCAAATGACCCTGACCTTTTAAAATGTCAGCCTGCCACCACCTCAAACTTAAACAGCAATTGTGACAAAACTGCTCTGTTTTTGTGAGCGTGGCAGCAGGAAGAGTTTTTGTTTGAGGATGAACTTCTGGCGTCGGTCTAATTCAAGATGGACGAAAGGAAATACACATGGCTATAAATCAATACATTTTTCAGATATTCAGCTAAAAGTTAGAGTTGTAGTAGCTAAGAATAAATTACAACTATACAGTGTTACAGTATTACATGAGGGCTTTAATTTTTCCTTTGTTATGAATCTGTTCATATGTCATGTGTGGACTTTGTACTGAAGCAAACATGCTAGCTGACCTTCAGCTTGTTTGTTTTTGAGGGCACCGTGCACGGTCACGTCCCGTTTAATAATTCAACCCCTTCATTGATTCCACCGTCCTGCACCTCCGAACGCACCTTTGTTCCTGTTTTATTACCTGTGGAAATACATTCGCCCGGCAGAATGGGAAGGTCATTGAGCCGCTTGCCCTTCATCTCACCAGGGCCAGCGCAGAAGACATCCGACACCGTGGCGTTGGTGTTCTTCAGCCACGTCATCAGCCATTTGTTCTCACAGTTGCACTGGAACGAGTTCCCCCGCAGGTCTCTGTAACTCGACAGAAAGCGCCCTCAGTGCAGTCACGGCATATGAGAAGTCAAAACCCAAGTGAGAGACAGGAAAATAGGTGTATGCTATAATGCAGACTCTCACACGAACACTGCAGACTCCACAACTGCTTACTCACAGCTCCAGCAGGGAGTCCAGCTCAGAGAAGAGATTTCTTGGCAGAAACCTCATCTTGTTGTTTGACAGGGAGCTGAGCAGACACACAGGGAAACGATAAAAACCTGCAATTCTGTCCATTCTGAACTTTTGTTTGTTTTCTGTTGCAGCAATTTCTTTTTACTATCAGGACACAATTCAAAGGAAAAAACGTGATTAGTGAGAATAAGTAAATCAGACTTACAGATGTGTCAGAGCTCGTAGACCTCGAAAGGCATTTTTGGTGATTGTTTCGATCTTGTTTCTTTCAATAAATCTGTGTTTTGTTTAACGTCATGTGGAGAAACACATTATAATGTCACATTATGCTCATGTGGATGCTTTTATAAGGAATGTTGAGTAAATTCTGGATAATCTTCAGGAATGATCATAAATGAATTTCTCAGATACTCACAAATACTCCAGATGAGACAGACCAGAGAAGGCGTTGTCTTTGATGGCCGTCAGAGAGTTGGCGTTCAGGAGCCTGAAGGAGGGAAACGAACTACAAGTCAAAGGGAAGGACTATGGGTCCCTGAAGGAATGCATATCACCCGCTGGAAACCTAACTGATGGGAAGCATGATCTCAGATGTGTTAGTGCTCAGTTATTGTTTAAGAATGACTCTCAGCTACTACCTCACTTAGTTTTAGTTTGATATCTGTAACATAGCCTGAGTTACAGCCATTTTTGTGGTGGTAAAGGTTAATTTGCTGTGGTGGACATTTTGAATTGGGTTTGCTCCAAATGTTAATTTTAGATGTACAATCAGTGAATACCATTACTTTCATGAGATATTTTGCTAACAGACCAACAGTGGTGGCTTTAGTATTTAGTGCCAAAGATGTTGTGTAATGCAAAGTTTTCAAAGTACTTGCTGTGAATGTCCCTCAGCTGCTAATGTGTCGAATTTTAGCTCAATGTGAAATCAGCCGAGTTATAACCATGTCTGTGTTTCCAGAGTTCGGTTAGCTAAATAGATAGATTAGATAGATTTGACTAAACATAACTCAATTTGATTAACGGTTGGGGGACTTGATGTAAAGGTCATGGATGTTTTCACTTATTAATGTTAAATTAATATAGAGCCATGTTTGTGAAATCAAGAGAGCCTGTTTGACTATTCAGAGTCATAACTTCTGACATCTTGAAAACCTGTGAGTTGTGAAGCAGAGGTCGTCTTGACCTCTGTCTGATAACGGGTATTTAAGCTTGTCCTAACTTTGTCCGTGCGCAGACCTTGTGACCGGAGCTTCGATATACCATCTATGTAAGCCTGTTTTCAATGCTGCCACCATACAAGTGAAACTGGGTTGTAAAGATCTTCTCGCATCCTCTGTGTGGCTTAGTTGATTAATGAGATGATGATTGGATCATTAAATGATCCAACATCAACATCTGAACGCTTCATTAAGGTATGTCCACTGGTTCATGAAATATTTTTGCCAACAAACAGTTGATTCCAACATTGCAAAGTTTTATAAACTGATCAGTCAGCACTCAGAGCATGAGTTGGGGATGACTCTCAGTTACAACCACACCAAACGTCAGCCCAGTCTGTAAAACCAGCAGCGTTAGAATCCTTTGGTTGTCTGTAAGCGGTCAGATGAAACCTTTGCTCTCAGCTTCTGCAGCTTGCTGTGTCAGAACAAAAGGCTGTTGAATCTTCATGATTTATTGTTAAATGAAAAAGTTAAATCACGTCCAGTCACTTACAGCAGCTGGAGAGAAGGCATCAGGGAGAACATCCCCTCTGTGATTTCGCTGATGGAGCTGTTTACAATGCTCCTGTGGAGGAGATGACAACATGATTCATGGGTTCATTCTGTGTCCTCCATTTAGTGCATGCATTCATTAAAATAGAGTCCTCACAGTGAGTTGGTGTCGGTGGGTACGGTCCGGGGGATCTGGGAGGTCCCGACGCAGATGATGGTCTCCTTGGAGCAGGAGCATCCTGTAGGACACTTCACAGTCTTTTTACATCCAATGACTCCGAAGAGACACAAGAGCACAAAACCTGCCACAAACCAGTGCACCGCACGAGCCATGGCGCCTGGTGGTGATGGGATTCAGTGAGAGGGGCTGGTCGGGTCCAGTCTGCTGGGCGACATGAGGATGCAGCAGAACAGAGTCTGGCACAGACTGATACAGACGCTGCTGCTGCAGGATGCTGCTGGCTTCGAACACTGAGGGACAAAACAGAAACGTCACGTCGTCAGAAACAACAGTGCTGCTGTTGGTGCAGACGGTGCAAGCTGAACGTTAAAAACCCTGGATGGTGTAACGTAACCCCAAACATCAGACATTTAAAGAGATATTTACTGTAAATAAAACAGTGGCGAAGATGAATGATTCAGAACTTTCCAAGAAAAGGACAGTTAACGTATTTATAAATTGTACACGAACTGTTTGGTGACACCACTAAATCTTTTCAGAGGTCTGTGGTCTGCCAGTCTGAAGTCTTTAGTTATTGTTTGTATTTCTTTTGTACATTGAATCCTTGTCTTTTCATCACATACCTCTTCTAAAACGTGTCTTGATTTTTATTCATATGGTTTACATTAATGGAAAAAAATATTTGAAATAGCTTAAAGATCTAGATTAAAAAACATAAGTTTTGTATTTTTTATTTACTTTTTTATTCCAGCTAATCAGAGAAACTAATTCAGTGAGATCAAATTAAAGCAAGAACGTTTTTTAAAACTGGGAAATTTACTTTTGAGTCAACTGACTGTCATTCTCCCAAGAGTTACAACAACATTTCAGCATAAATGACTGAGAACAAATCATAAAACTAGTTCATAAAAAGGATGGCAACTTTTTGTGAAGGTGAAATTATAATAAAAAAGGCGTGATTCAAATCTCCCTACATCCAAATAAACTTCTTCTGCAGACAAATCACAAGAAACTCGCAGCGATGCTTGCTCCAGAAGAACACCATCCACCCATCCATCTATCCATCCATCCATCCATCCATCCATCCATCCATCCATCCATCCATCCATCTGAAGTTGGGTAGTGGGGGCAGCAGCTTGAGCAGGGAGGCCCAGACATCTCTTTCCACAGCCACCTCTTCCAGCTCTTCTAGGAGGACTCCCAAGGCATTCCCAGGCTAACTGAGAGACATAGTCTCTCCAGCATGTCCTGGGTCTTTGTGTGGTCTCCTCCCAGTTGGACATGCCTGAAGCACCTCCCTAGGTAGGCGTCCAGGGGGCATCCTTACCAGATGCTCGAACCACCTCAACTGGCTTCTTTCAATGTGGAGGAGCAGCAGTTCTCTCTCCCTGATAGCTGAACTTCTCACCCTATATTTAAGGGAAAGTCCAGCATACCCTGCAGAGGAAACTCATTTCAACTGCCTGTATCCACAATCTTGTTCTTTCGGTCACTACCCAGAGTTTGTGACCATGAGGGTAGGAATGTAAACCGACCGGTAAACAGAGCGCTTTATCTTACAGCTCAGCTTCCTCTTCACTACAACGGACTGGTATAGAGCCTGCAATATTGCAGATGTTGCACCAATCTGTCTGCCAATCTCACGCTCCATTCTTCCCTCACTCACGAACAAAATCTTGAGATACTTGAACTCCTCCACTTGAGGCAGAACCTCACGCTTAACCTGAAGTGAGCAATCCACCCTTTTCCGGTTGAGGACCATGGCCTCAGATTTGGAGGCGCTGATTCTCATCCTAGCCGCTCCACACTCGGCTGTGAACCACTCCATTGAGAGTTGAAGATCACAGCTCGATGACGCCAACAGGATCAGATCATCTGCAAAGAGCAGAGATGGAATCCTGAGGCCACCAAACCTGAAACCCTCTGCCCGCTGGCTGCACCAAGAAATTCTGTCCGTAAAAGTTATGAACAGAATCGGTAACAATGGACAGCCCTGGTGGAGTCCAACTCCCACCCTGAAGGGGTATGACTTACTGCTGGCAATGCGAACCAAATTCTCGCACCGCTTGTATAGGGACCGAACAGCCTGTAGCAATGTGCCTCCAATCCCATACTTGCAGAGCACCCTGTCAAGTGTACCCCGAGGAACACGGTCAAACACCCTCTCTAAGTCCACAAAACACATGTACACTGAATGGGCAAACTCCCATGACCCCTCAAGGGCCCTAGTGAGGGTAAAGATCTGGTACGGTGTTCCACGGACAGGACGTAACACGCATTTTTTCTCCTGGATCTGAGGTTTGACCAACACTTGCTCTCTTTTGTCCAGTACCTCTGAATAGACCTCATCACGGAGGCTAAGGAGAGTTATGCCCCTATAATTGGAGCAAATCCTCCAATCCCCCTTTGTGAAGAGGGGAATCACCAGTCTGCCAATCCAGTGGCACTGCCCCTGATGTCCACGCGATGTTACAAAGGCATGTCAACCAAGACAGCCCCACAACATCCAGAGCCTTAAGGAAATCAGAGCAGATCTGGTCTACCCCCAGAGCCCTGCTGCCACAGAGCTTTTAAACTACCTTGGCAACCTCAGCCACGGTTATGGACAGACCAACCCCGAAGTCCCCCGACTCTGCTTCCTCCATGGATGGCATGCTGGTGGGAGTTAGAAGGTCAGAAAAGTATTCTTTCCACCTCCTCACAATATCACTAGTTGAGGTCAACAGTACCCCACCTTCACTGAACACAGTGTTAGTAAAGTGCTACTTTTCCCTCCTCAGCCACTTGATGGTTTGTCATAATCTCCTTGGAGCTGACTGAGAGTCTCTAGCCAAGGTCTCACCGAACTCCTCCCACATCTGAGCTTTTGCCTCAGTAACAGCCAAGGCTACAGACCGCTTGGCCCTCTGGTACTCCTCAGCAGCTTCTGGAGTCCCACCAGCCAACAAGGCTTGGTAGGACTCCTTCTTCAGCTTGACAGCCTTGTGGATGGCCACCATGAAAAGCACCAACAACCTTGCAGCCACAGGTCAAGGCAACTACCTCAACAATTGCGTCACGGAACATGGCCCTCTGGGACTGAATTCTCCCTGCCTCAGCTGGGATGCGGTCAAAACTCTCCCAGAGGTGTGAGTTGAAGATATTTCTGATGAGTTCTTCTGCCAGGCATTCCCAGCAAACCCTCAATACATTTTTGAGTCTACTGGGTCTGTCTGGCATTTTCCCTCACCATCTGCTCCAACTCACTACCAGGTGGTGATCAGTTGACAGCTCAGCTCTATTCTTCACCCAAGTGTACAAAGCAAATGGCCGCAAATCAGATGACACGACTACAAAGTCAATCATCGATCTAAGACCTAGAGCTACAAGTCCAACAACAGAACATGGCTCGAGTTCAGATCAGAGAGGCACTTCCTCCCAGTCATGCCCCTCCAGGTCACACGGTTGTAACCAACATGGGCAATGATGTCCCCCAGTAGAATAAAGGAGTCCCCAGCTGGTGCACCTTCCAGCACCCCAGCTAAGGACTCCAAGAAGGTTGGATACTCTGAACTGCTGTTTGGCACATAAACACAAACAACTGTCAGGGCCTGTCCCCCACCTGCAGGCACAGGGAAACTACCCTCTCATCTACCAGGGAAAACTCCAACACACAGGCACCGAGTTGTGGGGCTAAGAATAGACCCACACCAGCTCGGCGCCTCTCACCATGGGCATACAGCAGTTTGTTCATGAAACACACTCCAACAGGGATTTATCTCCTTGTCATCTTGAACTTTCACCTCTCCTCAGTTTACCCATGATAACCTAAGAAAGAATTTCAACTTCCTCCTGCTGGCTTCATGTTTTCTCTGTTGTACATTATATTCATGCTGTAAGTGTCTTTATCTTTTGATGTGGACTCTTGTTTCAGCTGAAATTCAACATCTGTCTTTAAATGTTTCAAATATAAATGTTTTCTTTGGGAAAGGAGGATAAAATGAAGATCTGAGCAGCTCCAACTGATGCGGCAACAAACCAGAACAAGTTGTTGACAGCTGATTAAAAAGGTCGGCTTTTCAGTTCTGGTCCAAAAGGCTGATGGTGTTTATTTTTCCTTTTGATTTTGTCGTTAAGATTACAGTATGACAAACAGAAGTGAACTTTAACAAGTGTGCAGATACATAAGTTCACCACCAGAGGACAGCTGTGGACAGAAAACCCAAACGGTGTTCAACTGTTGTTTTATACTGCACATAGCATGTGAAGAAACATTAAGGCATTTTCAGAAACATGAATTATAGCAGAAAATAAATAAAATAAAACTTCAGATTTAAAAAAAATCACCTTTAAAATGCAAAATGTGTCTGAATCATTATATGTCATAAAAATGCATAAGTGAAACGTGTCTTATTCAAACATTATGTGGAGGCTGAATATTTATTGAAGTTAAGATAAAAAAATTTTTTTCAACATTCTTCTCTTTGAACTTTTTTATTGTATGTTTTTACCAAACAGCTGTAAAAACCTGATGATTCCTGTCAAATCATCAGTGGAACAAACACGTTTTAGTCACCCTCCCTCTCTTCACCCAGAAGGTTCTGACCTTCACGAGAGGACTGGCAGCGTTTGAGCCCGAGTGAATCCGAACCACCGAGGAAGAACCGAGCATGTCTGTCATCGGAGGGATCGCTCGTGGCAGCTCTGCCTCTGCTGTTTTTAGGATGACATCTCATTGACCCAGATGATGCACAGCAGACGTCAGACGAAAGCTGTGATTTATTTATCTACTCGGTCACAATGTCGCATCTGAAGATCCTTAAAACAAATCTGCTTTAGGCATCGGCCACTCAAGATCATTATTTTAGTCAAACTTTATTTATACAGGTTAGTCTCACTGAGCCTCGAGGACTCATTTACAAGATTTCACTTCTTGTCTTGGATGTTTGTTGTATGAAAACGAGGGAAAGCAAGACACTTCCACTTTACTTGCCAGAACACAGAAACACTTTAATGAAACAGCTTTAAAACTTAAAATAATAGTTTCTCTGTAATTAAACTGCAGGAAACACAGAGGCACGTTAACGTATTTGATTTCTAAATCCTTCGGCCCTCGATGGGTTGTTCTTCTAACTTGCTCAGTTGCTGAAAGCAGCTCTGGAGCTGGACATCGGGTAGTTATTGCCATTACGCAAATTTAAATTATGATTTAAATTTGATCTTTATTTTTAAATGACCTTTTTCGCAGGCGGACTGAGCTCTACAGCGCTGTCATAGATCATGTATAAACCAGGATCACCTCTCTCACAAAAGTTTTTGTCAATTCAGTTTTTTTTCTCCTGTTTCTTGTTTTATTTTCTGATTTAAAATCCTGTTTTATTTCTAATAAGCTCATCGAGGGGCCAGACTGAGCTCACCAGTGGTGAGGGTGTGGCCCCAGGGCCATCAGTTGAACTTCTTTTTTTTTAAAGTATAGAATAGAATAGAATAGAATAGAATAAGATAGAATAGAATAGAATAGAATAGAATAGAATAGAATAGAAACAGCCTTTATTGTCCCACAGATGGGAAATTCAAGTGTAACAGCAGCAACAACAGATAAAAAGATAAAAAGATTCACACAAAAGTTCCTAAATGTTATAAACAATACATAAAGAAATAAGATAAACAACATCAATAATAGTGTTCAGTATGTGTTGGAACATTGAGAATGGCAGACTTTACAGTACAGTATTATAGGTAGAGTGTGTGTTTTAGCAGAGGTCAGCATGTATTTAATCCTTATTGAGTTTGTTGGGAGCAGTGATGGTTGGAGTCTAACAGCTGCTGGGAGGAAGGACTTGCGGTAACGATCCTTTGTGCATTTAGGATGCAGTGATTTGTCACTGAACGAGCTGTCCAGCTCAGCAACAGCTTCATGCATGGGGTGGGAGACGTTGTCCAGCAATGATAGTATATTGATGCTGATTGATACAATGCTGTATTTGCAGTAGAGCAGGTGTTGTTTCTCTCAGACTTCTCTGGTTCCCCCTGTGGGGGTCTCAGTAACCTGGGTCAGAGAGTCTGAGTCCAGATGGATGCCACACAAGACATTAACATGTCCCTGTATGCCACAAACCAAACACTGCTTTGTGTTTGACCTTTCCAAAGTATTTTAAACTAATTATTATTTCTTTTTAATTACATGAAAATGATTCATGTCTGTCTCCCCAGTTCCCAGTCATTCCTCATTTTTAACGGTGAGCCCCAAGGCTCTGTTTTTGGACCCGTCCTCTTCATCATCTACCATTTTGTAAGGATGGTGCCCCCTTGTGGCGGGTCCCATCCCTACACTCTCTGGTCTCCCTGTTAATTTCCTTGATCGTTTCCACCCTCCTGTCGTCCAGGTGTTTGATTGCCTCCCTGTGTATATAAGTCTGTGTCCTTGTGTTTATGATTGTCCTGGCATTGTCTCCTGCTGCCTCATGTCTCCTGAGTTCCTAGTGATTCCCTGCGTATGTAAGTTTGCTGCCCTGTCAGCTATTTTGTGTTCTTTATATTAAAACATTATTCAATCAACCTTTATTTAGACAGGTAAATCCCATTGAGCCTCGAGGACTCATTTACAAGAGAGACCTGATTTATTATTATTTTACCTGCCGAGTCGTCGTGCTGCCTGCACCTTTGGGTCTGAACCACACCAGATCGTGACAGAATGCCAGGACCAAACAAAGATCCAGCAGGCTGCCGTCCTTGGCTGTGCTCACCCTGGAGGATGAGCAGCGGCTCCACAGTGTTTCATGGGCACTGTTTTGCACTGTATGCACCCCCAACGACCTGCAGGCAAGATGGGTCTCAAGATGTCTTGGGTGAGTTCCTTCGGCTGCCAGGACTAATCCAGTACCCAAAGATGGCAAAGCTTCTCGATAAGGTGCTGGAGGAGCAACGGGTGCTGAATAGAATCTGCCGGTCCACTGACCCCCAGCCCACATTCCCAGCATCGCCTCCAGAATGTTTTGCACCTCCTGCTCTGCTCCCAGTGGTGGCCCTCACAACTGCAGCCCCTGTGGTGCCTTCCATGCCTACCACAGTCTCCGTAGTTTTTACAGCTCCTTCAGTTCCTGACGAGTCCATGTCCTCGGATGGTCACACGTCCCCTGTGCTCCCGACTCCAGCAGCAGCCCTTGCGCCCTCGTGTCCAGCAGTGGCCCCTGCGCCCTCGTGTCCAGCGGCTGCTCCTGCTCCCTCGTGTCCAGCGGTGGCCCCTGCGCCCTCGTGTCCAGCAGCGGCTCCCGCACCCTCGTGTCCAGCGGCGGCTCCTGCGCCCTCGTGTCCAGCGGCAGCTCCCGCGCCCTCGTGTCCAGCGGCTGCCCCTGCGCCCTTGTGTCCAGTGGCGGCTCCTGCGCCCTCTTGTCCAGCGGCAGCTCCCGCCCCTGTCTCCAGCCACAGTTCTGGTGTTGGCAGCTATGAGGTCTTCGGTGGTCTCTTCTCTGGATCGCCCACCAGAGCCCCCGCCTGATGATGGACGGTCTCCTGGCCACCCCCCTGAGTCTGTTCCATGTCTTGGACGGCCTCCTGGTCGCCCACCTGAACTTGTTATATTTCTTTGTGTTTAGTTTTGGTGTTTAGTTCTCAGGCCTCCTCCTGTCAGTTTTTGGTTTCTTGTCCTGGTGTTTCCTCGTGCCCCCCCCCCATCCTTGCAGTTCCTCCCTCTGCCCGCCCTAGTTTTTTTTTTTTTTTGGGGGGC